AGATTTTTAGCCAAAGTAACCTGAACTTCAATTCCCATGACATTTATGTAATAAATAAATTATAATTTTTTTCAGAACACTGAGTTGTATTATTCTATTAGGCTGGCAGGAATGGGAAAAGAAGTAATTCTCTGATGTCCAGTTGGATAATGTCATCTAATGCAAAGAGTGTGCGGAGCCGATTCTTCACTTCCTTCCACCATTTGTATATACCATAGTAATTAAACACATACAGTGTTATAAAACTGATATGTAGCTGTACCAGCCGTCAGTCTATTGGTAAATGACAGATACCTGCAGTTTCCTCATATTATACTACAGTTTTTAATTTGGGCTTTCTTTACCTAAGAAAAGTTGCAGGGTGACTTTAATGCTATTTTTCTAGTAAGCATTTTCAAAATCAAACACAGACCCAGATTCTGTTGTGGAATATGGGTGGGACTTTGACATTACCTCGGCCAAAGCTTTGCAATGAAAGCTTGTGAAGGGCCAAAGAAAAGTCTGCAGAGTTTTTTTGAGCAGTTAACGGAAGTCATATGAAGACTCACTGTAAACACTGCAAGCCATAGCATACAAGATAGCTAGGAGGAATACAGGTGTGTTCTTTGGACTGCACCCCTGTCTTTGAGATGAGCATTTAACTTGCTCTATTTTATACACCTCACTGCAGTCAAATTGCCAATACTTAACAACTGGGCAAAAAACAGTTTTGGACCTGCTCCCCCATACCTTGTTTAGACATTTGCACTTTTTAAGCAACCATAAAATAGTCAGCATCCTGCCATACCACAATGGTAGCATTTCACACCTGCTTGCACAGATGATTTTTTTTTTTTTAGTTTTGGAGCTTTAGAACCTGTTCTAAATTTAAGCTAAAAAATTAGCTACTAGCTCAATTTAACATATATATATATGTATATAAATATTTAGGTACTCCTAAAACTGGAGCCAGGACTTTTATTTCTGTATCCTGAACAAAGATTTGTGGAGCTTATCTCTCTCTCTCTCTCTCTGAGTTAACTAGTACAAGTGACAATAACAACAATCAGTTCAGAGAGAACTAAGGATTCTAACCAAAATACACCACTAACTTAAAGATGGGGATGGGAATCAGGCCTCAAACATCCTCTGGGATCTACAAATTATTATTTCTGAAGCATGGTTTAGTCCTCTGGCAACTGATATCATGACATACAAGCCTAAACGTTTACTCTTAAATACATTAACCCCTAACTGGCTCCGATTATTTGCTGACTACTCCAGCCACAACAACAAAATTCCCAATGCATTCACTTGTCCATTTGACAGTATATTAACACCTGTCAGAATATAAGCCCATTAATACTTCCACAGAGAAATGCAATGTATAGCATGCCTACTTTCTGTGAAATCACATGTAAGTTCTAATTCCTTATTGAGTGTCTCTGAGTGGGCATCACTGTATAACCAGAACTACTAACACACAACAATCAGCCAAGAATGGCATTAACTTTGTTTTCTAATTTTCGCACCGACTCTAGATGTACAAAACATTGCTGAATAATGAGTAGATGCTGGCATGCATTTGGCTGGAAAACTTGATTTACTTAGAGTGGAACAATTATAGACATCTTTTGCTTTTATTCATGGAAACCAACTCTCATCAAGTCAGATACTAAACTGAAAATTCTCTAATTTAATATTATCATTAGTAAAGATGAAGATGCATTAAGTTCATTTGAATTTTTCAGCAATACTGAGAAGTACTGAGCTCTCTCATGAGTTGTCATAATAAACAAGAAAAAACAATTTTCATCGGGGGAAAAAAAGAAATGGAGCTCTAAAGGACAGAAACGGCAATGAAGAACAGTTCATTCTCCAACAAAATTGGTGATTCCTCCTCTGTATTGTCTTTTACATTAGACTGGGATTAACTTCTCTCATTTTAATTCCATTTAACATGCCATTTGAACTTGTTTTAGAGCTGCTTGGCAATGGCTTGAAAACAGCTGCACAATTTTTGCTCACTTCAGAAATTAAAACTGATTTAGCTGGGAAAATTAAGGAGTTGATATTTGGCTGTACATTTCTGTGAATAACAATCTTTTAAATGAACTTGGAATAAGTTAATTAAATAAAAGAGACTTTAGAAAGAGCTTAAGCTCATATGAGTCGAGCTTAAGTCTGAATTTAGCCTATGGAAGAAAACCTGAGAAAATAAGGCCTGGGGAATTTAAAGATACTAAAGTACTAAATAAAAAGAATGGCTCAATAGTGACAATATAGTTAGTTCCATTATGTAGAAATCTAACAACAGGTCTATTTTATAGTTTCTGACAAGTAAGCAATGAATACCTGGTCAGTTCTGCTCTACCCCTGTTGCAAATAAAATATGAGTAAGTGATAGCATAGTTCTGAAGAATGATAGTATTTCATCACTCTCATAAGCCCTGATATTAAGCCATAACAGCACAACTTACTTCCACTGAAAGGCAAAAAACAAGAAAAAAGAAAAAAAAGAAAAAAGAAGAAGAAGATTTCAGAAGAATATACAAGAACTACATCTGAAATTTGGAGTCAATAAATACAGACAATAATTAGAATGAATGAGAACATTCACACCGAACCACAAATCAGTTCTGTGAGGTATCTTCCTTTGTCACTAGTAATATGTTGCTGACACAATGTTTAAGACAGAGACCTATGCTAGGCAATACAGATATTAGGGGTGTTTGTTGGCGGCTAGTGTCAGAAGACCAAGCAGATTTCAGGTCCCTTAAACATTTCAACATTATTTCTTTGTACAAAAAAGTAAAGGATTCCCACTAGAAAAAGTGAAGTTGTGGCAAGGCTTATCTTAAAAGCTAGGGAGCTCTGTGATCACATTGGACTCACCTCAGTGACAGGTTCTAAGAGCAACTCTAACAGAAGAAAATAAAGACTGTGAGAAAGGCCATGTGTGACTGAGAATCAGTCTAATACTAAAAATTTCTATTCACCTCTATGAAGGGACAATGCAAAGTTGTTTTTTGTTTCGATTGATTTTTGGGGGTGGGGTACTGAAGAGTCTATAGGACCTGATAGTTTTCGCTTCGTGAATCTCTCAGACTTGTTCATTCAGATTCCTGGCAGAGAGCATAGGTCATGGGAAATAAATACGACATTTCTGTTCAACAGTGAGTCATAGGACAAAACCAAAAAGATTTGCAGTAGGTTATAGTCTACAAGACTTATTTGTATCATAAAAATTAACTGTGCACATCAAAGATTACAAACTGAAAATCCTATTCTTTCTCTGAGAGCCTAGACTCAGAACAGCTGGCAAAAAATTTTTTTTAAACATTCTCTACAATGCTGACTACTAAAGAGTAACAGCTAGGAAGTTATGCCCTTTGCTCATCCAGAACTTGAGAAAAGCAAACTTGTTTGATCAAACTGCAAAGAAATACCACCACTGACATGGAAGGACTTCTCTACCAAAGACAAGACATGCTCCATGTGTCTCAGTAGTTCCAGCATGGATTACAACCAGAATAGAAAAGTTTTCTGGTTTTACTTTTCAAAGGGGGCGGGGGGGGGGGGAATCCAACTTTTTGGACCTATACTTAAACAAGAGAGTTGTGTCCCCAGTAGCTGGTCTCAATTCTTTCATGCTCCAAAGGTTGCTAAGTCAGAAGGTAATCAGCACCCCAGGCTAGGTGGTCGCCAGCACAAGCAGTATCCTGCCTCAGAATTCCAGACCATCTGAGGCAGCTGTGGCACATATTATAAGCTATATATAACACAATGGGCATGCATCTTCACTGACAGACATTCATGAGTCAGAAGACAGCAGTGGGAAGGGATAGGGCTGTATGTAAATGTCAGAACTCAACTGCAATCTGGCAATGAAAAATATTATAATATTATTGATAAAGCCTAATCAATTTTATTTGAAACAAAAAAAAGGAAGCTTTTCTCCTTCAAAGTTTCTACTGATTCATTGCTACCACTTGCTATATTTCTTCCTGTTTTTAGCACAACCAGTATGCAACAGGGAAATTCTTTCAAATTAAGTAGTGTGATAAATGAACATACTATTTGCTGTGGTGATATAACTCATTTTATCACTATGGTTATGCAAAGGAAAACCCTATTTATCCTACACTAGCTTGTTTTTCTTCTGACAAGGCTATCTGTCACCACAGGAAATTCCAAGTTCATAAAACTGGATAGCTGACATTTCCAATACGATATACTTTGTGAGGAGTAACAACCCTCCTAATCAATTTTGTCAATTACATCAGCGTTTGTCTTAATACAAAATCACTTTATACCATACTGAAAGACCAACATGGAGCTCTTCCTAAAAGTCACGTAGATCAGGAGGGTAAGAGACTGCATCATCATCAGTGTGGAAATACTTAGAATAAGCAAAGTAGCATGCAATGTAACCCAGACCGAGATGAATAACACATTCTGTGATTGTATAGTAAGAGACATATCTTTTATATACAGTGTAAAAGCATCATATTTTATGAAGATTATGAAAAAAGTTTATGCATACAGAGCCTTTGAATTTTTAGGTCCAGACTGTAAAATATTTTTTCTTGGGAAAAAAAAAAGTATCTGCAAATTCTTCTTTTTGTATTCTGAACAACTGCTTGTCAGAGACCAGATGCAGTTCCACTTTTCTAAACCAAACATTTTTTATGATCTGTTGCAAGTTTTCTTACAAATACAAGTAAAATTTAAGTAATCATCTTCAAGAGTGAAAAATATGTTTTTCTTCAAGATGGATGCTTAATTTAGGAATATCCTTTTTGAGTGTAAGAAATGAAAATTTTGTACTTTGAAAAGTCAACTAAGGTCAAGATTAATATAGCATCCACTAATTAGTTTGTTGATATCATGAAGGTTTTTCTTGTCATTTCACTGATGAATGAGGGAATTTGCACCTCAGTAGGTAAACATGTTTGATACTTCCTTAATCTACTGCACAGCACTTGCTACAGTCAAAAATAAGAGACAAAGTGGAATACAGAGTCAAAACAATTTAGAAAACAGATTACTAGCTACAAAGGAATATGAATGAAGAATAACTTTTAAAAATAACATATATTCTGGACTGATGTGTTCCATAAACATTTTCTTTGCTAATGGAAGCCTTCAGAGAACAAATACTTATTTCATACGTGTTCCATTCTGCCCGAGTAATTTTAGATTTCCACTGTGGCTCTGCCTTTTATTTCCTTCTGTTCTCCTTGCCTTGGTTAGATTAGAGAGGTAGGGTGTTAATGGGGTACTTGATGAAGATTGAAGACCTATTTTCTCCCTTCTCGGAGACCAGTCTGATTTGAACAAATTGAAGAGAGTGAAGCAGTCTCTTCATGTCCTTGGGAAAAGCCTTTTCCATTTCAGCATTTCCAGCTTTCAGACATGGTCCCCTTTGTTCACAGAGAAAAAGAAAGAAAAGGTGCCAGCACAAGAAGGTTCCAAATAATTTCATATAAAGTCAGCGGGGCTACAAAAGCTCCCTTTCAATCTCCTTTACGGTTGGTGAGCATGTGAACGCGAGGTGGATCCAGGAGGGGAATGCAAGGAATTAGTGCTTGCAGCTCGAACAGGGAGAGAAACAAGCTGTTGTCCACCAGTCCCCACCTCTGTTGTTGCCACTTCCTTACTACTCTCATCCTTGTGGGTACTGTTTTGTGCTGGGCACTCAAAATGCACACAGTGAAACACCTGGAGAGAACAGAAAATGAAGATAAAGAAAACACTTAAATGCTGGCAAAAGCATGATCAAATTAAGATGAAGACTATATGGAAGTATGCAGGCCAGATCAATGCCAAGGTACTTAGTCAAATTAGAATGTTTCACCATGAGGTCAAAAACATGTATCCATGGGCCATATAAACATAAAGCGAAACAAGTGGAGCAAGAGAAGGCCTTCAAATTATACCAAGCTTTACGTATGGCACTAAGATCAGAAATATGGTTCCAAAGTGGATAGAGATATTTGTAAATGATTTTTTTTCTTTACCAAGCATCATAAATACCTACTACATGCTATCAGATGACAACAACAATTATATTAATTGTCTTAAACATATCTTATGATCTAATTACTTCCTCAAAAGACTGAACGTTCATACACACTGGAAATGAAATTTAAATCATTATCAATATGAATTGATTTCAAGATTTCCCTCAGCTGTAATAGGAATGGTAGCTCCACAGACATATCCTGGAGTATGTAGAAAGGCAGTCAGAGTGTCCAAGGAGGCCACTGCTTCATCAGATGAAATATTCCATTTCAACCAGTGATCATTTTCTGATGTTTCAAACAATACCAGGGACCACTGTACAGGTGACGGTATCTTAGAGCAAGAGGACCATCTGTTTAAGTGTTTTTTCCAATTTATTTTCTACTTTACTTACCCTTACTTCTACTTGTTCTTGAAGTGCCTGGGAGAAGAAGGGGGACGAAGTCCTTAAAATTGTTGCAAAACTTCTTTCTACGTGATTTCTCATTGCTACAAATTGCACAGATTTGCCACATACTACATACATCTTTTCCTATACTGATTTAAAATTTGCTATTTTCTCATGCATTGTAGTTTTATATCTAAAGCTTGAGAATATTAAAAACTGAATTTTAAAATTATTGTTTTAACTTAATTTTGTGTGCTTTTATGACATCTTCTATCATTCTTCTTGCACGTAGATCATGTCTTTAAAGCTCCTCTCACAAGCAAAGGTAATCTCTTATAATCTTAACGGCCTTTTCCCAGACCCTTTCAAGTTAATGTGGGCAAAATCAAATACCATAAACAAGACATGGGTATACTACATATTCATACAAGACTACAGAATATTATATTTTCTAGCCTTTCTTCAATATTACTGAAAATCCTATTACTCTTTTTGACAACCCCTGCTCCAGTGCACATTGAGCAGACGTCTGCAATGACATGTCTGCAATAGCCCCTGAGTCTTTTCTGAGGAAGTTGCTAGTTAATTCAAATTCTGACAGCATACATGAAACGAATAAAAAAATATTCTCAGTCACTGTTTTTTTTAACCCCATTATATTTTCTTGTGCCTCTCAGTGTAAGATTTCTTGCAGTTTTTTATACAGATACATAGCGATGCATGTTTATATTTCTATATATACACACATGCTCATATAAAGATGTATCGCTATGCCTTTATATATACACATATGAACAGATTACAAATCTACACCTGTACCCACACACATACACACATGCACAAAATGTTTTTTCTCTGCATTTCTTCTGGTGAGATTTTTTTCTAAAGCTGAATTAATTTCTACAGTGGCATGAATTCTCTCCATCTGTTACAATTCTTGAGAAGCCAATTTTTGCATTCAGCTACGCTTGAGAAGCCCCTTTTATACTCATCCCGCTCCCATGTTTTTAAAGTAACAGCTATTTTCATTTTTCCAGCCACACTTATCAGCATCAGGATTTGTGGGAACAAACATTATCTCATCAGTGCACCTCTGTAATATGCTACTTTCCTTGAAAGGCAGCACAGTCTAAAGAATGGGGTGGAGGTCTCCAAGTCAGAAGATTCCATATTTCTACTGTATCGTACACCAATAGTGTTTCTCATTTAAAACTTCACTTTACATAGCGATGCATGCTTTTTTAAATATAGTATGGATACCACTGAAATTTAGGTAATACTAGTCTATAAAGTCTGAAGTACCCAATTCCTAAATTATAACTTTCATTTTTACCGATTCTTTCATACTAAATTAATAATGCTCAACTCAGCATCTGCACATTAACAAGCCTGTGAATTTACAACATTACTTTCAGTTACTCTGCCACTTCAAAGTACAGAGAACACAGCTTGTGAAAGAAGCAGAGGACAGAGAAATACAATTGAGCTCATCTGCTTCATCCAATATCAGAATTATGTATTCCAGAACAGTATTACTAAAACAAATAATCTTGCATGTGTTTCTCTAAAGAGGCAGAGATGACAGTTCAGCATTATTCTCTTATCAACAGCATATTATACTTCTCATGGATATTTTAAGAAAGGTCCAACATACAAAGCAGGAAGGCCAAGTACATATACACTGGTGCAGTAATTTGTAAGATAAAGCTCTCACATAAGCAACTAGGTGTCCTTTCCAGGTCAGCAATACTGAAGAGGAATAACAAAATCAAACTTACACAGGCAAAGTATCAGGTGACCTGTCTGACAAATAAATGATAAGAAGGGCTAAGGAAAAATAATCCTTTTCGTTATAAAAGTAAGATGTCTGGAAGGTAGAGAAAAAAAAAAAATTACCCTTTATCACGTTCTAACATACCAAAAGTACTCAAATGCCAGGTCAAAAAATCTGTGAACATCATGCCTTCCAAAACATGGAAAACATGGCAAAGGCAAAGATGAGTTTGGAAGATGAAATCATTCACAAAATGGAGAAATTTTATGGGATTTTTTACAATTCCAAAAATCAACTCTTCCCTTTGGAAAGTACAGATTGCGCTTCAAAGTTCAAAGGTATGTGTTGGTAGAACAAGTAGGGAGTATTTTTGTACCTAGGACAGTAAAACTCCTTGATAAGAATATGCTGCCATTAGCATCTTCTGTTTAAAATGGGAATGGTTTGACATAAAATACAACCAGCTGTGGGCAAATAATTCTGGAAACTGCTTGTGTTCTTACTGAAAAGACTACCAAGACTCCAGAACAAACCAAGACTTTGGTTACACTGTTATTATTTAAACTGGAAGTATGAAAAATACTTTGCTGCCTTCTTTGGAAAATGAAAATTTATGACAAAATGTTACAGACCATCTGTTTAATATATATCAAACCAATGTAATTTAGCAGTATTGAGACAAGGGGAGTCAAAAGAATCTCAGTAGATACAATAAAGGGGGATGAAAGATAAAGTTTAGCGCTTACATTGTTGAAATTAGCTGAGGCAGAGACAGTCCTTGATAAGAAGAGCTGGTCCCAAGAACCAGCCAGCGAGGCAGAGACAGTTCCTGATAAGAAGCAGGAGCTGGTCCCAAGAACCAGCCAAGACTGGTCTTGTGGCTTGGGTGAATACCAAGAAACCACTGAGCCTGCGCAAGAAAAGAGGTTACTAGTGGAGATGAAGAGGAGTCGTCTATCTTCATCTCTGCGACCACCAGACGACCACCATAAGGAGGCACTGCGCAAGCACAGTTGAGAGGAGACTATGGAAATGACTTCTTGGAGCTAATTTTAATATGAAGCCGGGATAGGTCATGCATATGTATAGCTGTATGGTGAATATGTGACACCTGACTGTATAAACTTGAAGTGAACTGCCGAGTCAGGCGCACACGACTTTGGTGGGACTACCCCCCGTGCCGCCCAGCACTGAATGAACATACCTACTTTACAATCTCACTGATTGCGGAGTCTGTTTTCTGCACGTCAGTATGTGCATGTTGATAATGTTCCTCCTCTACAAGCTTTAGGAGAAATAGTTTTTAAAAAAAAGTTAATGTTGGGTACAGATTTTAAAGACAAAAGAGGAAAAGACCTAGAACAGCAGCATGTGTTTATAGTTCCATTGAGCCACTACATGAATAGCTGTAACCTCAATTTGCATATGCTGATCTTCACTATAGTTATGCAGTGCTCCATATAAAGAACTACACAGGATATTAAATTCCTTGGACATAGTAACCAATTTGAAATTAGAATTATGTTTAAAAGCCCCTTACTCTTCAGGGCTTAAAGCTAACTTTAAGAATTAAAAGTTGGAGGCAATGTTTCAGGTAGGCTGATTTGCCAAGTTTATGCAATGTAACTCATTCTTTATTAATAAAGAGATGAGAATTTAGAAAGCCTGGCATGACAACAAATGAGACTGACTGTATGGATCAGTAATGGAAAAGGCCTTCTTAACTCATGTACAACAACTCTGGAGTCAGTTTCTGACTCTGTATTTCTAAGAACTCACTGATTAAGACTGAACTGTACACTGCAAGAGAGAGTGCTTAGAAAAAAGAAACAAAGAAAATTATATTCCCAGTTCAGTTGATTGGTCAGCTTCTTTCCAACTGTCTGCTGAGACATTGTTGACATCTGGTGGTGCATATGTTTGCAATAATTGCTCTGAAATTGGACATGAACAATGCTATTTGACAATTCTTCCAATGCTTAAGAACCAGCAACCCCACATACTAAATATGATCAGAAATCCTGACTCCTAATACTGTTAGAGTTGACAAACTAATTACTACAAATGTAGTAGTGCTAACCAAAATAAATTGGAAAGTGTGAAAATACAATGTTTTGTGGTGAACTACATGTGTGGGACGTAGACATGCACGCATACATACAGGAGCAGCAGCTTTTAGTGCCTCTTACAATCTCATCATATAAGGTCCTAATCTCACAAAGACTTTCATGTATTCCTAAATTCACATATTGTAAATTGTTTCACTGAAGTCAGCTATAAAATCTGGACTTCCTCTGAGACAATACACAATTATGAAAGACAGAAGCACAAGTAAACAAAAAGAGGATGGTATTGCACTTGATCGGTTAGGGCAAAATATATTTTTTCTGTATAAAATGAATTGAAAAAAATCTCTTGGTTTGGCCACTATTGGTTAACTGATTTACCAGGTATGAAAATTAATTATAAGACAATCTTATGCAAATACATACATTTTAGAAGGCAACTGTACTGTTGTATATTCATGAAGAATATAGATTTTCTTAAAAGTTCCTTACCTCATTAGCTGTGTTGTGAGTTCCAACTATTCTGATAAAAGATGCAGGCTGTTTATCAAAACTGATTGTTTGCCAGGATCTACAAAAAAGTCCAGAAAGACATACAAATATTAAACACTGTCACAACAGCTTGCAGTAAAATATACAGAGAATCCACTCAAGTGACAGTACATACTATTATCACTTAACAGGGCAAATAGAGAAACACTTTTCATCACCTGAATTTCCAGCACTCCTTGTTCATTTTTATATTTACGTGCCTTGAGTCTGCTTATATGTTTCCCATACATACCTTATACTACTATAATTTGCATATAAAAAACCTGAATCAAAGTCTAAAATACTTGACTAATATTGACTGTATTAGATAAACAAAAGATCAGGTAAATAAAAGGAAATGCATCTATCTGTTAACTACCCATAAGAAATCATCAGAGCTTGGTTACAGAAAATTACAACTCTAGGGGAAAAACACCACCCAAAACCTCAGACAAACTCTTCTGACTCTAAGTGAAGCAGTGGAGGCAGAGGAGCCAAGCTTCCCTTGTGTGGGCCAAGGTCCTTCCAATAAATTACGAGTGACATAAAACATTCTTCACAGTTCAGGTTGTGAGGATTTCCTTATGCTGACACAGAGATAGTGGGGAGAATAGACCACCCCCAGAGCTGGAGGGTAACTTTTTGGGCTACACTGAGAACACTATAGGCAGATTCGGACCACTAAATCTTCCTTCCTCATTCATACTCTTTTGATTTGGGCAAGGTACAACACCTCAGGTAGCCTAACACACAGCCAGAAAAGGACACTTATTCCTACCATACTTCTGTGCTTACAGAACACACTGACAGTAAAACAGAAGAAACAAAAAGAATAATAGGAACTAGAGGTTTCAGTTTGATGCCACTCTTCCACTACACTAGATTAGTACTTGAACACATTAGAATTTAAATTTTTATATTCATAAAACATGGAAGCTATATACAGAATTTAACTTCTTAGCAAAACTAGACTCTATCACAGATGACTTCAGAAATAAAATGTAGTTAAGTATAACTTGTTTAACTCACTACAGAAGAAAAACGTTGGATAGTTTTCCTGAATGTGTTCAGAATACCTTCAGAAGTGTTCGTATAAGAAATAAGGGACGGAAGCAAAACTGGAATAAAACACCACTCGCCACCAGAAGACTACCACAAAGCCTGGCAGTGTGAACAGCTTGGTTGCTGACTACTTGTCAGGCACTTGAATTTTCCCTTAGTAGGAAAACCTCTTTGTCACAAACATAGCATTTCTGGGTTTAATTTAGTTGACTATTACTTTTATTACTGCTGTCAGGTTACATTTGCTTAAAGAAGATTATGAGCCCAATCAAGACCTAATTTCAAGTAGTTTACTGGTATTACTGCACGAAGCAATGGATGTAATTACAGTTACTCATCATAATATAAAGTCGTGGTCTGTGTCAGGCCTCAGAGATACAGCAGTTATCTATCTCACAGCATGGTTTATTTATACCCCTTATATGGCTATGTCCTCCTTATCTTAAAGCTCAGGCTGTTTCTTCAAGCTCTAAATAAAATATAAAATGAGAATGGACTATTTCCTTGATCTGTCTCAAGATCTGAAAGACTGCTATGATTTAAACATTTTTTTCCCTAAACAGGAGAACAATTCTTCTTGAGTTTCCTTCTCATATTATTCTAGTACAGCCAGTCAGTCAATCTTCATGGCCTAATGTAACTTTGTTACCTTGAAGTATAGAGTCCCAAAGATGAGTGGCTGAGACAATCAGATGATTGCAACACTACTACTTCTCATAACAAAGTATTGCCATAGTTTGCATTATGTACATGCTTTCACAATTACACACGCACACACTTTATGCAGGGAGAGTGATGATGTAAAAATCAGATTTCCCTATATAGTGATTTGGAAAATATTCTGAAGCTATTCTAAATAAAAGAGTTTAAGATCCTAAAGAAGTCATTAAGAACAGCCCATGCCTTCCTAGCCTCTGAGATAGAGCTTGTGTTCTGTGACAAGAAAATAGGTTAATTAGGGATCATAGATTAGAACATAAATGGGTCTGTATTTATTTATAGTACTTCTGAGCACTGGTCAAATACACACTGCAAGAGTTCAGTGCAAATTTTCCAAAGATGGCACTAAATGCCATTGTCTGTCATATGAAGTGACAACAAGGAAGCTGACGCATCTATTTGGGAATACAAACTGAAAAGCATGACAGATATTAAGAGAGGTTGAGAAAAAGACCTCTGAAGATCCTTTTGACAACACACTTCTAGATCAGCTCTTCCAGGAAGCTCCCAGGTTCTTCCACTTCCCACTGCATTACAAGTCCTTACTTTCTGCTACAATGCTGTTATTAGGATAGGATTATATTACGCTTTTAATAATATTAAAACATGATAGAAAATACTAAAATTTCTTGAGGACCTGAGACTTGAAGGGTGATAGGTTTTTCAATAAATTTGGTCCTGAGAATATTTACTGTTTTGGTATGTGTCCATTTTATTCCTTTTCCATTGGAAAAAGAAAGTCAAAATTATAAACAATTTGTAGAACAGTTATTAAAATTCAAGTTATTAAAATTCAAGAATATTGCCACTAGAGAATTAGTACTTGATGGGATAATGAGAAAATTAGGTCTCTTAGTTTATTTCCTTAGCAAAAAGGAAAAAACAAAGTAGAAAACAACCCAAATAGATTTGGAAAAAGTCTCTTTTGAAATAAGCAAGGCAAACCTTCTTCACTAGAAAGCTGCACTGATTTTGACTGTAACAGTACATTTGAGAACATCAATATATACCAAAGCAATACCTCTCCAGTACAGATATAATTATGCAGCAAAGAGATAATTTATGCAGTGTAACTATACCCATATGAGAAGAGAGATTAGTGACAGAATATTATCAAGGCATATCTGCCCTCTTTTTGCATTTTTTTCTGATATAACAAATTCAGTAAGACTTCTATTTATGTATCAAGCCATAACAACTGTTCAGTGCTGTTTCTTGACTAAATTAAAGGCATCACAGGTAACCCTTAAGTTTCTTTTTAATCTTCTTCTTTTACTACTAGTTATCTCTTCCGGTACTATTGTAATAATTTCAGTTCCTCTGTAGAAATTTTATTTTGCAAATTGTTTTGTAGTCATGCCATGTGTATGTGCTTATTTTATATTTACCTCACAAAAGCTAGTCTTTCTATCCTCAAAATCACTTTCGGCGATCTTTACAAAAATTTCCTCCAAACTTTATACATAGCTCTGGTATTGACTGATACATAAGTCACTGTATTCCGTGAACAGCAGCATTAAAACATATCAAAAGCACCTCATTTTTGGTCTGGGATTAGATACTTCTGGGTAATAGATACCATTTCTTCACCTTCACTCCCCATATGCCAAGCAAACAAACCTTTCAAGCTGGTGGTAATACTTTCACCTTCTTTACCTCGGACATGGTCATAAAGAAGCTATCAGAACTTACTTCTCCCATAAACTGGCATTTTCGTATTTGGACTTTCTGTATCCCTGTACTCCTTATTAGTGGCCCTATAACAAATTGATTTTTCAGGGTTTAGCTTTTAAGTATTCAGGAAGTGTTGATCTTCTTTTCTGCTTTCACACCTGTCTTGCTGGTTGATTCATTTTAGATTTGCTGCTCAATCTGCAGCAGTCCTGGTCATTACTTTCACAACAGAAATAATCACTACCTCAAGCTGAGGTTTACATCTCTAAGAGAAGACTCAGGACTAGCAGCCTACTTAGATTTATACCAGGGTCCTCAAGCTGAAATGCAGCACTACAAGTTGTTCGGCTAGCAAAGGTCCCCTGACACTACAGCTCCATTTTCCAAAAGAAATTAGCCTTGTTACAGTCCTCCAGTGTTTTATTTAACACTCTACATCTCGCCTCAGCCACCCGACTTCTAACTCTCTTGTTCTGCCTGGCTCCCCTAAGGAGATCCAGTAATTGATGATTAGCATTCCAAAGCCATGCTTGCATCCTGGAAGCCTGTCATATTTAATTACATTTTAACTATATTCGTCTTCTATAATAGTCTGAACATAATTTAGATAATTATCTTTTGCTCTCTTATTCTCTGACTCTGCCGGTGTCACTTAGAGCTCCTTGCAATGAAAATCACTTTCTCTGCTCAAATATATAAACACTCTTGGGCCAAGTGCTTTCATCTCTCCAACAGCAACAGCTGTCACTGAAAACTCAATGGCTTTGTGCATCCCACAATCTCTTCAACATATTCTATTCAGAGGAAGAAGAAAATCATTAGAAACCCCTCCACTTTCATGTTTCTTCCTGCCTTTTTCTTTATTAGACTATTGCAAGAAGAATGCAAGAAATACTGATGTCCAGGTAAATGATAGCAATAGCTTGCTATTGCTTAAGCTGTCTGTAGCTCCAAAATAGGAATTCACCTCTTAAAGAATTTAATAGCTTTTCTCAGCATTTGGAACCCTTCCCTAGTTATTTCTATGAAAAGCTGCTATCTTTCTAAACATTTATTAAATATAATAGGATATAAATAGTGACACTTTCCCGTTATTTCCTTCTCTTCCAGAAAGAACAAATTAAGAAAGAAGTGGAAGCTTATCTTTTATTGAAGTTTTCTAATGAGCCACTGGCACTACAGAGTACTACCACACTGTGGGATCACCAGAGCAACATGGATTATAGCTGAAACCAAGTTCTGCCAAAGATGTAAGATAAAAGGGAAAGCTGTTACATGTAACTAACATTCATCAAGCTGTAATAACCATAACATATTCATATCATGGCTTGCTTTAGGCTAAGCATGTATATTTTGTCTGTGCACATTGTGTCTCCTCACTTTCCAAGGTGACATACAACCTCCATCTTTTGTTCCTCACTCTAAGAAGAAAAGCAAAACAGAGTTGGAAGCAAATGTAGAAATTAACAACAGACCCTGAAAAATGTCAATTACCAGCAAGTAACCTCCATTTTCCTTTCTAACACTTCTCCACATATGCCTTGTTCTATATATTAAGTAACAAAACACTTCTTAGCTTATTTG